TAAATACTTGTTCATGTGCCTGTAAACAAGCTGTCCAATGCCTGCACCTACCTATCCTACTTAATCACTAGGGGTATCCTCCAACCCACTTGACCTCCTAGACTGTAAACCCCACAACCTTGTGTTTCCTGGCCAGCCTTCTCCTTTTTCACACTAAAAAGGAAGACAGATCAGGCAAGTATAGAATCTCTGGATTTGGTCATGAATGTGAATATTTTGCAGCTATATTGCTGTGAATAGTTGCCACCATCTCTCCTGGCTGCTGAATATGCTGAAAGGCCAAACTTTATCAGATTGTAGCTCAATTGCACTACTGAGGAAAACGTTATCCAACAGTCGGAGATGGTGAAGAATAGATTTATTCAAAAAGGGTATGATGAACAATAAATTAGACAAGTTATAAAAGTTGGAGTTTGTAAGAAATAGATTTGGGAAGGATAAAGAGCTTAATGGTATTTATGATAGAAGTTGTGACTATTGTATTATATTAGATTTAAACAATACAGAAGGATAAGACTTTTGGTCCATTGCTACCAGAATGTCCAAAATTTGTGTTTAGGAAATACCAATTTTGAGGGATTGATTAGTAAAAGCTGTTATAGACCCACCCTCATTAGGAATTTTTTTTTTAGTGCAGGTTTCTATGTTTGTGGCAGATACAGCATGTATGATTTCAAAAGGCACAAGTGAAGGAAGGAATTTACTGCATTTGTCACACATTCAAGATATCAAATCTGTGATTTCATTTCATGTAAAACAGAGGATGTTACTTACATGTTGGAATGTCCTTGTGGCCTTCAATATGTGGGCCGCACATCCAGGTCTTTAGAAGTATGGGTTAGGGGACATAGCTGCAATATTAAGAATGTAGGAAGCATAGGGTTTCCTATCATTTTAGACAACACCACAATAAGGATTCAAGTGGACTTAAATTCTTGGGTATAGAAAAGGTGAATAAGCACTGGAGACGGGGAAATTTTATTAGACATTTAAGCAAGAGAGAATCATTTTGTGTTTTTGAAACCAAGGTTCTAGCCCCTCTGTAATAAACATGAATTTAGATCCTAATTGCTTTATTAGTGATTTACTCCTTTTTTTTTTAATGGTTTTTATATACTGTTATATTTACTGTACTATTACCAGCAGTGTGGTTTTATAGGGTTAATATCATCATGCTTTTTTTGTATTATCCCAGTTCAATATCAATATTCTGTGCATTTCTTGTTTACATTATATGCTGATAAGTATATGGTTGGTCATCTTACAGTTGGTTTACGTATGTGATTGCCGGTTTCGTAGTTGGATGAATTGGTATTGTTCATTGTTATGTGCACATTACCTCTTCTTACTTTTAGTTCTGGACTGCATGTGATGAATGTACGTGACACTTCCATTTTTGAGCAGAAGAATGGATTACTTCTCATTTGCACCCCGACCTACATCATTCTCTGATACTGATAGAATAAAAACTATGGATACTCTGTATTATTGTCTTCCAGAACGGATGTGATGAGGGCATTCACCACTTCCGGTCCAGGCAGAAGTTCTTATTTATTAGGCCCGACCGATGTCCTTTCTGGTCACGATGCTGATACTGGCATCCTTGGTTCCATGGACATGGATATGCTTGCCCGCTACCTACTGATGAAATCCTGACTGGATGCAATGGAGACCGCCCTATTTTTCCAATGATGTAATCACATGTTTGATATGTGCACTGGTTGCGATCTGGAGTATATACTTATGATGACGACTACATGCATGTTTCTCTACATACTACTGAGTGTATACCTACCTTTTATTTCTAATAAAATATACAGTAGGCATTATTAGTTTTCCTTCTTGTACACACTATTTGTGGATGAGGAGAGTTGAAGAAGTTGAAGGAGAGGAGCAGATTGTTGATCTACACCCATGAAAGAGAGAAGTCTTTGGGATCTGTTTTTGATCTCAGAAGTCTTGGATGGAGGTGAGCAGATCCACGTAACACATATGGAATGTGTCCTTTCTTCATTTACGGAGCAGCAGGGTTCTCTGGGCACAAGATTCTGATATCACTTTTTCTTTGAACCTTTTTCACTGAGAGACCGATTTAAAATTCTTTGTACTTTTTTCACATTTAGGTTTTTAAGATATATTGACTCTCATGGATATTTTTAATATGGATGCACATGAGTGTATATTTATGTGGGGATTTAGATTTTTATCCTCAGATTTTAATATACAGAGAGATGAAGTTTATCACACCAATATGAGATTTAGAATTTTTGATATATATAGTTTGTTTTTTTCGCATTTGTTGTTCTTTATGCAAGTAATATTTTGGGAGCGCTGCACTATTTTTATCACTAAAGTTGCACAAAAGCTTGCAACAGTCATGATGCTTCTAAATAAAACTCTGTGACAGTGTCAAACAGTATAAAGTGCATTAATCCCTTCTAAAATATATAACGTGTGTTGTAACATGTGGGGACTCGGGTACTGGCCTGAGGGACATGAATCAGTGAAGAAAAATTATTTTTTTTTTTAAAAATATCATTTTAAAAGGGGCAGTCATTTATTCATTGCTTAACCACTTGCCTACTGGGCACTTATACTCCCTTCGTGCCCAGGCCAGTTTTCATCTTTCAGCGCTGTCACACTTTGAATGACAATTACGCGGTCATGCAACACTGCACCCATATGACATTTTTATAATTTTTTTCACACAAATAGAGCTTTCCTTTGGTGGTATGTACTCGCTGCTGGGTGTTTGATGTTTTGCGTATAAACAAAAAAGGGCAAACATTTTGGAAAAAAAAAAAAAGTTTCTTTGTTTCTATTATAAAATTTTGCAAGCAGGTCATTTTAATCCTTCACTGATGTGTGTTGATGAGGCTGCACTGATAGGCAGCACTGATAGGCGGCACTGATATGCAACAATGATGGGCACTGACGGCACTGCTGGGCAAAGGTGAGCGGCACTGCTGGGAACTGATCATCATTGTCCTGATGATCGGTGCCGATCTGTCCTCTGACAATTGCTGGTTATCGGCAGTACTTTCCTCACGCTGTGACAGCGTGAGAAAAGTGCAGCCGATAACTGGCAACTGCATTTACTGGTGATCTGCTGTGTCATTGGACACGGCTGATCACATGGTAAAAGGCTGCTGTGATTGGCCTTTTACCACATCACATGATCAGCTGTGTCTGTAGGACACAGTGATCACGGAGGTCGCCGAGGGCACATTCTGGGAGGACGTCATATGATGCCCTCCCAGAACTGTTCAGCCGTGGTGAGGCCGTCATTCGGCTATCTGTGGTCGGCAAGTGGCTAAAGAAAAAAAAAATAAAAAAAAGGTCTTTAAAATATGATGCCTGCAAAGTTTCACATCTGTACAAATATATGGAACCTGCTGCAGCAGGTTTTAGGTCTGGTAGTAAGGACCCCACAGTAGGACTTTTAAGGAGAACCTCCACCCCTGAAAAAATTGGGGCCCTCCTAAATTCCTACCAGGCTCTTGATCCGAGGACAGGCCTGGCAGGATAGGAAAGTGGTGGACGAATGAGTGCCCCCCTCCCTCGGCAAATTACCAGGTGAAGTGCCCTTGGCATGCCGATGGGGACAAGGGCCTCTTCCCCTCAACCCTGGCCCAGTGGTTGTGGGGGTCTGCGGGCAGGGGAGCTCATTAGCATCAGAGTACCCTGATGCTACCTCTCCTTGTGAATGAGTAGGGGTACTTGTAACCCTACCCATTTGCTAAAAGGTTAAATTCAGTAAAAAATATTCCTTTATTGAGCAAAAAACAAAACAGTTTTTGTCAAGTCCTTCATTATAAAAAGGAGACAAAAAAATGGTTCCATTGTTGTAGTCCATCATCAATCACGGCGTCCAGCCGACTTGAGTCCACACCCACCGAGCACTCGCCGCAATCTGACATTTGGCAGTCAGATGTAAACCAACTGGGCGGACCTGTGGTCAGCTGGATTGCTTTGGCCAATCACAATGCACTGTGAGAGTGCAGTGCATTGTGGGGCACGGCAGGCGAATAGCCCGCCTAACTTCCTAACTGTTTGTGTGTTCGGCGAACACACGAATGGCTAACATCAAGCCCATCCCTACACCCCGACATACAAAGCTAAAAACACATTTAAAGGATACATTTTTCCCATACCTGCAGCCACGCCCATCGCCCTCATCCCTCTGACAGATATTACAGGGAGAAGTTTCCCCGTACTGTCAGATTTAAAAACAGTGCTGCTGTGTTGGGCACCGCCCACACGGCCACGTCATTCATTCACAGACCTTCTTAGTGGCTGTGGGGCACCATGGTAGTTCATTGAAGCTTCCTCTCAGAATATCCGCTTGCTCGTACATCCCATACGGCAAGCAGATATTCTGACAGGTCTGCAGGAGACGTGCATGGCATCAGCGATCTACTGATTGCTGGTGTAATGCTTTCCAGGCCACTTTGGACAAAAATAATAAATGCACATTTTTACCTGCAAAAAACATATCCTTTAAGTGGTTTTGTGAACGCAAGGATGAAATAAGACAGCTTTGATGTAATCTTCATTCACTAGATCTGGATTGTGTATTGAAAGTTCTATAGTAGTGTGCAGAATTAAATATCTGCCTCTTTGAACCTCCAAAGAACTAAAGTTTTTTTTTTTTTTAAATCTTGTAGAATTGTGAAAATCCCATCACAGAGTTTAGGGTTGTTTGCCCAGCTATCCTAAATGCCTTTCTTCCTGGCAACAGCATTTTGGCAAAAAAAAAAAAAAGCCCAACACATGTTAACATGTCTAGTCTAGATGCATTTAGACTCTCCAAGTGCTTGGGCGTTAATTCATTTCACTGGCCAGAATAATCATTTGACCTGTCTAGCAGTAACGTGCGTTTTTTTCCGCAAAAATGCTGCTGTTCCTGGGGACTGGCAGTGGATTTTTTTTCAGCCTCTAAATCTACCTGGAATTAGCCAGAGAGAGAGAATTTAAAGTGTCACTAAACTCAGATCTCCCATTAAAATGCAATTATTTTAGCCAATACTGTATAAACTGCTAAATACCTTTTCTCATCAGCAGTTAGAGCAGTCTTGTGACTTCTATCAGTGTTCAGCAGATAACTGGTTAAAGCTTGTAAGAGGATATCAGCCGGCAGAGGACATCTAGGCTGCTAAGTGGTGGAGCCGGGGGCCGTATAGGACTGTAATTCGGTCCGTTTGAGGACCACGGTCTGATATTTAGTGATGGCTGGTCTAGGAGGATGCAGAACCCCTGACCTCTCTCTAGATAATGCTGATTGGCCCTGTGCTGATCACATACACTCTCCCAAGAAAAGATAAAAAAACAAAAAACAATATACACCAAACTGAGCATGTGTAGAGTGACTCCACAGGATAGGTCTCATCAGAATATAAGTGGGGGACACTGTAAGAAGGGGAGGATCAGAGAAGACAGGATCAAACCATGTTTTTACACAAGGCAGAGGATTAACCCCTTAGGTTCCACAGTGAGTATAACAAGCATGCTTTACTGCATATACAGGCTGATTTTACTGTTATGGGTTTAGTAACACTAAGGAAAGAAAACATATCTGAACCAGCAGGGCACATTATAGATTCACAGGATATATAACGAACATATATAACCTCTCTATATACTGTGTATTTCACAAAGCTGCACATGTGTGAATATCTGCCCTCGCTGGAGGTAACAGGAAGTCGGTGCTCGTCTGTTTTGTAAAAGAAAGGATGAAGTAAATGTGATGTAAAGTAAATGTAAATCCAGTAAAGGCTGGTTGTATTCTCTATGTTAACCAGAGGAGTGCACTAGCAGGTTTTCATTTGATTTTACTTTCCATAGTAGGGGAGATGTCAGTATTACTCAACGCTATTTCATGTTTGTTGCTAGAACAACTCTGCTTAAAATGGTTTTAAAAGTCAATATTGTAATTCTGCAAAAAAAACAAAAAAAAAAAAAAACCCACAAATTAAGATGGCTTATAATATGGCATTCTGGAGGATGTACAGCCTGGGGATACATGGGCCTCTATGCAGCAAGCATCCCTTTTGATCTTCATTTCATGTTTGTGCTCAGAGAGACTTTACCCTTGATGCAGTGCTGTATTGAGAAAAAATATTTTCCTTACGAACTAAATACTTACAAAGGATCTGGTTATGATTTTTGCATGACCATATAATTTCTGAGGGCCTAGTTACATCAGTGTGCTCCGGCAATCCAACGCACCTTCCCAGCACATCCATGTGTTGTAGTGCAATTCCCATGCTGCTGCATGCACACATGGTTATGTGCATTAAGCACCCAATTCATATAAATGGGCTTCCTCAATGTATATTAACGTCGGCCATAACATGCCCTAAAGTAGTTGTAAACCTCAGACATGAAATATGAACAAAGCATATCTCTTTTATAGTGTGTACAGGAGTCAATTAGGAGCACTACATGTCATAAGCTGTTTAGTTCCCCTGCTATCTGCATGAGTCACGTTTACTAAATTTTCCTGACACCAAAAGGAGAATGGTGACAGGGGAGGGAACTCCAGCAGTGTGAAAACCTCAGCTTTTTCCTGTGAGCTGGGTGGAAGGGGAGGGCGGGGTGTCCCTTCCCTCCAATCAGCTCTCCTCACTGAGCTCTGCAGTGTGTAATTTCAGCTCTCCCGTTTACTGAACTCCGAGAACTTTATAAATTTAGCACTTTGAATTGCTGTAGAGAAGAAAATACTGCAGATAAACAGGTACAACTTACGTAGGAGGAATTGTTTCATCCCTGTGTATCACCTGAGGCCAGCCACTTCACTAAGTATATGTAAGAGTTTACAACCACTTTAACATTCATGCATCTAATTCACCACAATGGAAATGTCTTACCAAGTAACTGTAATAGGAGTCGCCTGAACTTTGATTTTGTTTTTGTTTTTTTTTAATTTAAATATTTTATTAATTTTTCATAGCGATAACAAAACACTTTCATCATATTCATAATAAATATACATGACTATTTCTTATTACTTTTCTTTTTCCTTCTTAAAACATTACCCCCTTCCCCCAAACCTCCCCCCCCCCCCATCTGCATTCTCTCTCTTCCTCTTATCTAAAGCAAGAATATCCTACCCATCATTCCACTCTATATCTTCCTTCATTCACTTTTTCACGTTTACTCCAGAGTTTTCCCATTTTTCCCATAGTATATCTCCATCTTATCTTCGTGCATATAGTAGAGCTTCTCCATCCTACTGATCCAGTTCACTCTTTCTATCCAATCCTCCTCTTTCGGTACTTCTGTTTTCCTCCAATACTTAGGGATCAGAAATTTTGCAGCATTCATATAATACCCTAAACCTAACTTCTTATATTTGCTAACTAATAGCTCTGAACTATGTAGCAAACACATCTCTGGGTCTAGCCCCAATATTTATCTCAGATATGATCTCAATTAATGTGTACTATTGTTGCCTGAACTTTGATTTTAAACTTTTTATTGGGAAAGAAAAAAAAAAAAAAAAAAAAAAACCAAAACAAACACAACAGTGAACCAATCCCACAAGCAAGAAAAAATTATTAGTGGGGAACTTCTGTATACAAATACATATTTATAAAGGAAGTGAAAATGGAATTTTTGACTGTTTTTAGAGCTGCAAAATGATAGTGGCAACTACTTACATCTTTAGTCAGGTAGAAAAAAAAAGATACTAAAAGTCGGAGTTGAACCAACAGAAAAAATAAATAGAAAACCTCTATATAGAAAATCCTATACCCAAGACGAAGTAAAAAAACAAACAAACCAAGAATCATATAAAAGTGTGGTCCAACAAGGCAAGTGGATAGTCTCTGGGATGTCGATCTTTGGTGTTATTTCTATAAATGCTAAATAGTCAGCTGTACTCTGCATTTAGAAAAGCATCCATTTTATATTTTTATTTTTTTTAATTAATCTGGCTAAAACGGCTTCCTCTGAATTCCTATTCTTCAATTTCACAGCTCTTACTATTAGAAGCCTTTCTGTACAGTCATGGCCAAAAAATATTGGCACGCCTGCATTTCTGTCAGATAATGCACCACTTCGCCTAGAAAATTATTGCAATTACAAATGTTTAGGCATTCGCAGGCTTTTTCTTTTGTTTGTTTTTTTAGGACACAAAAAAGTGGAGAAACAAAAGGCCAAATCTGACATTCCATGCAAAACCCCAAAAATGGACTGTACAAAATTACTGGCACCCTCATTTTAATATTTGGTAGCGCACCCCTGGAAAAAATAACTGAAATCAATGGCTTCCTGTAACCATCAATGAGTTTCTTACACCTCTCTACTGGAATTCTGGACCACTCTTCTTTTACCAACTGCTTTAGGTATCTCAGATTGCTAGGGTCACTTTTCCCAGCTGCTGTTTTGAGATCTCTCCACAGATGCTCTATGGAATTGAGATCTGGACTCATTGCTGGCCAGTTCAGTCCTCTCCAGCACTTTGTCTGAAACTATTCTGGGTGCTTTTTGATGTGTGCTTTGGGTCATTGTCCTAATGTAAGACCCATGACCTCTGACAGAGACCCAACTTTCTGACCCTGTCCCCTACATTGCACCCCATAATTCTTTGGTAGTCTTCAGATTTCATTATGCACATGGTGAAGACATCCAGTGCCTGAAGCAGCAAAGCAACCCCAAAACATCAGTGAACTCCACCATTGTTTGTAGAGACTGTATTCTTTTCTTTAAAGGCCTCATTTCTTTTTCTGAAAATTGCAGAATGATGGGCTTTACCACAAATCTGTCATTTTGTTTTGTCTATCCACAGCACATTCTCCCCAAAAGATTTTGGCTTCCTCAGGTAGGTTTTGGCAAACTCCAATCTGGCTTTTATATGTTTCCATGTCAGCAGTGGGGTCCTCCTGGGTCTCCGGGTCTCCTACCATAGCGTCCCTTTTCATTCAGATGGCCACGTATATTGTGAGCTGACACAGCTGTACCCTGTGCCTAAAGATCAGCATCGAGTTTGTCTGGAAGTCGATCAAGGTTCTTTATCCACCATTCGAAGAATCAGAGATTCTGCCACGATGAATGGGGACTTATTCACAATTCACATGTCTGGAGAGTAACTGGTCACCCGGAGTCTAATGCAGGAGTCCAAGAATGCAAAACAACTAGTACTGCAGGCTGGCTTACTTGACAAAGTTAATTCCAGCAGTCTAGTCTGCGTTCTGGCCCAACTGGCTGGATTGGGTTCTGGCCATTGTAAGTGAACAACCCTCGCTGACGGCAGAGATGAGTCATTGGTTGTCAGGACGTTGGCGAGGGATCATTCAAAACTCTTAGGCTGCAAGCCCTTATCCCTATGACTACGCGCATTGCACGAAAAGCGTCAGGGGGGCTGCAGCAACAGGACATCCAACCACCGCAGGTGGACACCTTGGAATTTATGGTCAGTAACTTTTTGGAATTTTTTGTTATGTACTATACACCCATTATCCTTGAATAAAGGTACCTAAAGCAGTATCACGCTATGTGGTCTCTTATTGGGCACTCTGTGTGAGTGCTATCATTCGCAGTGCCCATTTGGAGGAAACTATGACCCTGGTGGTGATACCTGGTAGCGGATCCTGGTGACCTTTTTTCTGTGGAACTTGGATGGTGATCTGTGGCATAACCCGACTCGAGATCTGACGATCGATCTATGGCCTGGTGACGCAGGATTATTTATTGCGTATCTTAAACGCACATCTGGTGAGTGCGTTTTTCACCCATTTGTGTGGTTTGCACCAATTATCACTCCTGGATCAGGACGCCCACTCACTTGGAATTGTGATCTTTATGATCCATATCATCACATTGAACTAATTTAAATATTTAATGATCATCTTCAGAGTGATATCACGTATTCGCATAAGTGTGAAATAGCATATTATTGTGTGTAATAACGTGTATCATCACTTAGCGCTGCACCATTTTATTTGGATATACATTCAAAACTCGGCTGTGTCAAAAACAGATAAAAAAATGCATGCGCATGCATTTTTGGTGCTACTCCATTGAGGTCTATGGGACCAAAATAGTGTTGCAGTCGCACCGAAGTAGTGCAAGGACCTTTTCAAATTTGCATCACAGACATGTTGCATTGATGTGAACAGGCACCATTGAAAATGTGATTTCCATTGTCATACGATTTAAAGTCGCATCTGAAATCGCATTAGTGTGAACGGAGCCCAAGATAGATTCATGTGTCTGGTCATGTGAGCCCTGTGTTGCTAGGAAGTTATTTAAAGGAACGACAAGACATTGTTTTCTTGGTTTTTAAAAGTTCATGCTCCGGGACTTTCATCCTAAACCTGACGTCATTACCCAGTAGGTCATTGACCTGTAACAAGTTTTCAGGATGGAAGCTCAGGCTTCCCTGCCTGCATGCTTGTCCCAAATAAAAATTCTTTAAAATACGAACACGTCTTGCAGGATTTTAATGAGGAAAATTGGAGTGTTGGTATCCCTTTAAACGTGATTGAATTAAATGTTTGCTGTAGGGAATTCCTAAAATCTGACTCGTATCTTAGTGTGAACTTCTAG